TAATATTCTGTTAAATATTTTTGTCTATGTTCATGAGAGATATTAGTTATAATTTTCTTTTTTCTTTTTTTTTTTTTTTGCGGTACACAGGCCTCTCACTGCTGTGGCCTCTTCCGTTGCGGAGCACAGGCTCCAGACGCGCAGGCCCAGCGGCCATGTCTCACGGGCATAGCCGCTCCGCGGCATGTGGGATCTTCCCGGACCAGGGCACGAACGCGTGTCCCCTGCATTGGCAGGCGGACTCTCAACCACTGCGCCACCAGGGAAGCCCAGGGAAGCCCCTCCTAATTTATGGTTAAATTAGCTTTTAACCATACCTATTTGGTTTTTATTTTTTCTGGTTGGTCTAGGAAGTATTATTTGCATTCTTAGCTTATCATAACCTTTTATGAATTAATCTGATGCTACTTCATATATATTATAAGAATCTTACAGTGTGGTATTTCCATATATTTTACTTCTGAATATATTATAAACCATACTTTTACACAATCACTTTTAAGGAAATCATAAAATTAGAAAATAAAAATTATTATGGTTACCCACATATATAAGGATGCTTGCTCTTCACTCCTTTGTGCAATTTTCCTTCAGCTCAAAGGACATCCTTTAATATTTCTTATAGTGCATGTCTGCTAGTGGTGAATTATCTCACTTTTTGTTTATCTAAAAAAAGGCTTTATTTTGCCTTCACTTTTTGAAGGAGACAGAATTCTCAATTGGCAAGTTTTTCTTTTTTTTCTTTCAGCATTTTAAAGAGGTTATTCCATTGTCTTCTGGCTTTCATTATTTCTGATGAGAAATCAGTATTTAAAATTTTATTCCTCTGTATGTGATTGCTTGGCTATTTAATTTTTTTAAATTTATTTTTGTCTCAGCAGTATAACTACAATGTGTCTAGGTGTGGTTTTGCTTATATTTTTGCTTCTTGAGATTGGCTGAGTTTCTGGGGTCTGTTGGTTAATATTTTTCATCAAATAAGGGGGAAAACTTGGTCATCAGGTCTTCAAATACTTTCTGTGACTCCATTTCTCTTTCCTTTCCTACTAGGACTCCAGTTACACCTGTATTAGACCATTTTATATTGTCCCTCAGATCCCTGGGATCTATTCATTTTTTTCTATCTTTCTACTTTCTGTGCTCCAAGTACTTTGATCTCTTCTTCTGCCATGTCCTATCTGCTGTTTAAGCCATTCAGTAAAATTTTAATTTCTTATATCATAAGTTTTACTTTTAGAATTTCCATTTGGTTCTTTTTATAGTTTCTATTTCTATATGGAAATTTCATCTGTCCACCTATTATGTCTAGTTTTTACTTAAAGTTCTTAATATGTTTTAAAGTTCTTATCTATTAATTCCATTATCTGTATTTCTGGGTCTGTTTCTTTTGACTGTTTTTTTCCCTTGGTTATAGGTCACATTTTTCTATTTCCTTACATAGCTAGTGATTTTTTTCACTGTATGCTGGAAATTGTGGATTTCACATTGTTGTATGTGGTTTATTTGTCTTCCTTTGAAGAGTGTTGACTTTTGTTCTGTCAGGTGGTAAATTTACTCACAGATTAGCTTGATCCTTTTGAGACTTCTTTTTAATGTTTTTAGGGAGAGTATAGAGTAATTCTTATTCTATAGCTAAAATAGACCTACTCCTAAGTCTCTGCCCTTCTGAAATCTCAAAGGAATGCCCAGTATGTTCAGTGAGGTCTTTCTATTCTGACTTGTCAGACCTCCAATGTCTCCAAACCCTATGCAATATCTGGAATCTTTGCACAGCTCACAGTTTCTCAATAATTATCCTCTGCCATGGCTCACAGAGTCTTTCTCTATGCATGCATAATTTAGTGTTCAGTGAAAGTTTCAAGGAGACTCCTATGCATATTTTAGAGTTATCTCTCTATATACAGACCCTTTCTCTCTGATACCCAACACACAAATTTTAACCACCTAAGTGAACCTGAACTCAAATCATTATCCCATCAGATCAGTGAGATCATTGTGCTTTGCTTAAGTTACCCCTTCCTGCACCACAGTCCAGAAGGTACTTCTAGACAGGAAGCTGAAGGTGATTATGGGGCTGACATCCTGTGTTTTCCTTTTCTCAGTGATTACATTCCTTCTCTGATTGTCATCTAAAGTGTGAACACTTTCAGTTTTATTTTTCTTATAGCAGGAGAACTAGTCTGGTACTAATTACTCCATAATGGCTGAAGATGGAAGTCTCTAGTATAACTGAGTGGTTCACATTCAATTGTGTAATACCCCTCCATCTTAGATGGCTCTAGTTATTCTTTTTGTTTGTTTAGTGGAAGTATAGTTGATTTACAATACTGTGTTTGTTTCAGGTATACAGCAAAGTGATTTGGTTATACATATATTTTTTTCAGATTCTTTTCTGTTATAGGTTATTACAAGATATTGAATATAGTTCCCTGTGCTATACAGTAAATCCTTGTTGTTTATGTATTTTATATATAGTGGTGTGTATCTGTTAATCCCATACTCCTAATTTATCCCTTCCCCACCTTTGCCCTTTGGTAACCATAAGTTTGTTTTCTATGTCTGTGAGTCTATTTCTGCTTTGTAAATAAATTCATTTGTATTATTTTTTAGATTCCACATGTAAGTGATATCATATAATATTTGTCTTTCTCTTTCTGACCTACTTCACTCAGTATGATAATCTCTAGGTCCATCCACATTCCTGCAAATGGCAATATTTCATTCTTTTTTATGGCTGAGTAATAATATTCCATTGTATAAATTCCATATTCCATTGTATAAATATACCATATCTTCTTTATCATCTGTTGATGGACACTTAGGTTGCTTTGATGTCTTGGCTACTGTAAATAGTGCTGCTATGACTGTTGGGGTGCATGTTTCTTTTCAAATTAGAGTTCTTGTCTTTTCCATTTATATGCCCAGGAGTGGGATTGCTGAATCATATGGTAACTCTATTTTTAGTTTTTTAAGGAACCTCCATACTGTTATCCATAGTGGTTGCACCAATTTACATACCCACCAACAGTATAGGAGGGTTCCCTTTCCTTCTCACCCTCTCCAGCACTTATTATTTGCAGACTTCTTGAGGATGGCCATGCTGACCAGTGTGAGGTGGTACCTCATTGTAGCTTCGATTTGCATTTCTCTAATAATCAGCGATGTTGCAGATGGCTCTAGTTTTACCTTTGAGAAATGGAATATCTCTGAAAAGGCATGTGAAGCTATATATATTTTACAGACAAAGAGCATGGCCCAGGTGATACGTAGAATTCAAGATGTTGTGTACAAACTCTGATTCAATTTTTTCCTGTAAGTGTGGTTGTGTGATTTTGTATATTTGTGTGTGAGAAAGTAAAAGTGAGAGAAGATGAGTATTAGAAGGGGAAAAAGAGAAATCAAGTAAATATAAAAGTAGGGAAGACACACGGGGAGGGTCAGGACTTTTATATTTAAAAAATAATACTCAGCTTGAAAGTAATTTAAAACAAAAAAATTTTAAACCCTTCTTGTAATATTAGCTAAATTTTTGAATGCTTATCATATTTCAGGCATTGTTCTAAATGCTTCATATATTTTAATTTATTTACTCTGCACGACAATCCTTTCTGGTAGGTGCCTGTATTATCCCATTTTACAGATTAGAAACTGATAAGCAGAAAGATAGTATAACTTGCCCAAGGTTACAAGGTTAATAGGTAGGAATTAGGACTTGATCCCAGGTGGTCTACATCCAAAACTCTACCTTTTTAACCTGTGCACTGCCTTCAGATCAGAGAAGGATCTTGTTACTCTCTCTCCCCTTTCCCTGCCTCACTTCCCTGTCCCCAAACTTAAAAAAAAAAAAAATTCCATGTTAAGTTTTGGTGAGCTGTAAAAACCTCCCTGGGATTTGGTGCTGGTGAGAGTTGCTTGACTATTGAAGAGACAGGCATTCTGGTGGTCCACAGATTTTTCACACTGGACTCTTAACATCTTCCATTTCATCAGCTTCAATAACCGATATCTCTTTGATATTTAAGTGACCTTCAAGTATGGGCAACAGTTGATGAGTGACTCAGGGAGATTTTCAGTGCCTATCTCCTTAATCTGGACTGCTTGAGAAACCAGGTGACGATTGTGATGACCCATCTTTCCTGAGATATAGGAAGTTGTTGGGAAAAAAAAAAATCACTTCCCTAAATCATCAGGAGACTGACTATTTCTGCTTCTGACGAGGGTGGTGAGATCGGGAGGATGGGTAAGGATCCTGACCCAGACTAGAGGCACTGAGTCTCTCTAGGATTTCGTTTCCACTTCTCTACCTGAGAGTTGATATCTCCCTGGGATGAGTTCTTCCTGTGATCTTTGAGATTTCAAGAAGGAAAAGGATAGCAGATTGCAGGCTGTTATTATGGCAAGATCATTTCTCTCTGGCCACCAAACAGTTGTTCCCTGAGTCATTGAACCACTCTGTTCAGTGTCTGTCAAACTCAACTGCCTTTGAAATTTAGAGGAGAAAGTCTGTGTGTGCCAAAACCAAGGCCCTGAATCACCCAGCACCCAGCAGGAAGGCAGCGACGCATCGGCTTGGAAGTAGCGCCAGGAACCACACCTTGCAGCTGGTATGGACCTACAAGTGCCTATTCCACAGACATCTTTCCAGGCCATAAAATCTCATGTCCTCGCAGACAGGAGGTGCCATTGCCTATTCTCTCTGCTGTCGGCAAGGCTCCTGATTAGTGAATCATCTCCCTAAATATCTTTTTACGTGGATTGAGCCATGTACTAGGGAGATCATGTTTTATTTGAAATGTCTAAGGAAACTGCATTAGACATTACAGTTTATGAAGCAAAATAGGGTGAGTTTGTATTGGAAACATAGCATCTTATTTACTAGGAAGACCTGAACTTGGACAGCTCTACCTGGGCCCATTTGAAAACTACTGTCCTTTTTCTCTTGTCAACCAGAGTTCTGCAATTATTCTATATAATTGTTATTTTTCTTTTCTTTTTGGAAGGAGTCTCCTGCTGAAGAAAGAATCTAAAGAGATGCCTAAGTTCCAGGGAATTTTCCTCTAAGACTAATAACATCAAGATAGCTTTGAGTTTATTTATTTATGTTCATTATTTGTTTCCACAAGAGAAATACGTGTCATCTTCAGAGATCCTGGGTTAGAATTTTTTATTTTACTTGTGCTGGTTGAAGACAAATCTCAAACCCTGATGCTGTTTCTTTGTTTATTTCATGAAGAATTTCATATGGTTCTTGACAACTGATGCCTTCTATAGAACCAAGAAATATTGTTATACACTGTGTATATTAAAGATATCTTCCGAGTGTCATTTCACCAAACAAAGAAATTGAACCACCTTGCACTATACATTTTTGGTTAAATATTTAACAGCTATTATTTTGAAAGCCACCCAGAATAATACTAGCCAAGTCAAAAAAATGTCCCACTGAAGGGCCAGTTAAATTTTGGCTCTCATTCTACATTTATACCCCATATTCTCCCTCTTGAAGTTCTTCTGGAAACAAAACAGAGTATCCCTCCTCCAGCAAACCACTTGCAAAATTCCATGTAAGAAAATCCTCAAGTTGAAATTATGAAACGTCACCATCAGTTTCTGAGGATTCCGGAACTGGAATTCAACCAGAAACTTTATAATTTAGGGCTCGAGAGCCTAGAACATTAACATCTGAATTGGAGTGGTATTGGCTCCAAGGTTAAAAATAGAACACCACAGTTTCATTGCCTGTGATTATGACATACTCCCCATGAACATTAGTAGGGCTCAAACGTGTATTGAAGGCAGCCAAAGGGTAAATAAATTAACTGAAGTGACTCAGAAAGCACCGAGGGAGCAGAGATGTGCAGCTGTAACAAGGGACTTTGTTTTGGAGAACAGCCCCACTCAGAACTCAAGGGAGAGAGCCTCATTAGAAAACTCAAAGTACTATAGTACTAAAATGAGTTTCATTTATAAGCTTTCTCCACAGACATGGAAAAGAATACACGTATTATGACTTAAGGGGACTAGTGTTATGTTTTGAAGGTCTGGGCACTTACCAGACATTCAAGCCTATGCACTTTTCCTTTTAACCCAACAGAATACCTGGATCATGTGTACTAAGAATGTCTGTTTAAAAAGATAGACTAAAATACGTTGATGTAAAGACCTTGAGACTTTTGGGACTTCCCTGGCAGTCCAGTGGTTAAGGCTCCGCGCTTCCATCGCAGGAGGCACAGGTTCGATCCCTGGTCAGGGAAGTTACGCATGCCGTGCGATGTGGCCAAAAAAAAAAAAAAAAAAAATCTTGAGACTTTCTTCAATTCCTCTTACCAGCTTGCTTCTTGGAACAGCTTCCTAAGGCAATGAACTACTACTGAAGCTCATCCCTGTAGAATATTTTTTTCTCAGTGATTTGCGTTTATGACTTAACCTTGCTGCATTTTTCTGTATCAGGACAAGGCCTGGTTGTCCATTGTCTTTCATGAAGGCATCTATGGAAGGTTTTGAAGTCCACTAGTTAAGAGGAAAAAGTGCTTTTGTGTTTGATCAGTACGTAGGCGGAAGGTAGTTGGGAACAATGCTGAGTCACACTTTAAAAGAGCTGCATTTGCAAACAAAATGAGAGGACTTCATCATAGGCTTTGAAGTTCCAAACCTGGGTCCTAGCCTTGGTTGCATCAAGGGCACACCTCTCAATGACTCTCAGTTTCATTTACCTTTTGGTTAAATACCAACATTTGTTGAGCACTTGCTATATACTCAGCACTTTTATTCATTTAAACCTCACAACAATCCTGTGGAGCAAACATTATTATCATCCCCATTTTACAGGTAAGTAAACTGAGGCTCAGAAAGTCTATGAAGCTTGTTCCATGTTACACAGCTAGAAACCTAAGAGGACCAAGATTCAAATTCTCATCGGTCTCATTTCAGAGTCTGAGCTTTTAGTCATCCTGAAATGGGTCTTATAATATTGTTATCGACACTGTGAGGATCAAAAGAGATAATGTTTGTAAAAGCACCAAATTCATATACACATGGGAGGTGTTATCATTGTTAGAATGAGGTCATATAAGAAAAGGGAAAACTAAGAAACAGTTACATGACATGGTTATGGAAAAGTACTTTCAAATGCCTATAAAACCAGAGCTTACTTGTTCCATGTAAACCAACTTAGAATTTCCTGAACACGTTATTTTTCTTGACAGTACTCCCATCAAAATATTAAATATGATATGTTACATAAATCAGGTATGATGAATGACCATTCCACCTTTAGATTGTATCTGTTTTTGAAAGCTGGGCAACCTGAAAGACAAGGAGAAGCAACTTTGGTCTATTTGTTACCTGTGAGCCAAGTTGCACTGGTTTGCTTATTTATTTAAATTATGAAGACATTTGCACAGAAATTCGTCTCAAACACCCCAGGAACAATAGTGTAGGTTACCAATAGTCTAGATAGTGTTATTTGTTGCTTGTAGGACATAAGAGGATCAGAGTCTATGAGACGAAGACATAATGTTCCTTAAATCACCACCACAATACCAAGTTATTTTACTTTCAAATAGAAATTTAAGTGGACCTCTACAAGCAGTAAGTTTAGAAACACAGTGATCAAAATGTTTTGTAGATTTACAGTTAAAAAACAACCCAAACAAATAACAACACAAAACCCCAAGGATTTTGAAAAGATTTATTTGAGTTCCATATGCTCTTTCTCAGAAATATTCAATATATAAAACCCAAGTGTTTGGGCCACAAAGCCAATATATACTTTCCCCTCTGTGGGATCTGTAGGTTCCTCAGATCTGAAAAGCACTCTGCTTTTGCTCTGTGAGCCTGTCCTCTGTGGTCAGAACTCTGTTGACAGGTGGTGCGTGAGGTAGAAGAGAAGGCTCAGGTACTTCTTCTTTCCTTCTCTTTGCTATGTCAGGAATTCAACAAGAACCCTTCAGTCATCAGCGGGAAGGTCATGGCTACATGGGCCAACCAGGTGGAATATCTTGTGCAAACTGCTTCTTAGCGTCAAACAACAGGCTTGCCTTTTTCTAGTTCCCATAGTTCTGATGGAATTGATTGAAGCGATTGGTTATTTTAGGATAATGTAGACAGATATGAATGTATAATAATAGATAGGTCAAGAGTAAAGGGACTGTGGTCACGAGTATGTCGCGAAATGAAAATGTACACCCTAGTTACCAGATACCGTACCCTTTGTGGAGCCGAGGACTGAAAACTTAGAAATCATACTTAATATCCCTTATAAAGAAATTTTGTCCAAATTCTTGGGCTTGATGGTGACAATAATTCCCCAACTAGAAATGGGGATACTTTATCTGATGGATGTCCTTTTTTTCTGAATTATGAGTCTATTGATAGAAAACATCTTTCAGGGTTATAATTTGTATCACATTTAGTGCATGTTTAATAATTCATTTTATTGAAAAGAATAGCATTTTATGAAATTGGGCTACAACAGAAAATCCACACTGAATGGTTTCCATACTTATGGGTTATCTTAGCTGATCTCCATCTGCTGGGGTGAAAAGGCTTCTCTTCTGAAAACCAAAAGTTTAGTTGAGTCATAGCTCCAGTTATGTAGCAGTTGCTCCAATCCTACCCCTTTTGTCCAAAAATAGGAAAGAGTTTGCACCCTAAACAATCTGAAGTGGTTTTGTAAAGTTGCATGAGCTCTGTCATTGGAGAAGGTAAACCAGAGGTGGATTATTCTAGGAAGGAAGATACAGAATGAGATAACTGAATGCACTGCACAATGTTTGAAGGACAAGGGATTTTACTCACTATTTTTTTGAGGAGGGGCGCGGCTTGGGGGATCTTAGTTCCCCGACCAGTAATTGAACCCGGGGCCACCGCAGTGAAAGTACTGAGTCCTAACCAACAGGGAATTCCCCTCTCTTACTGTTTTGATACCTATTGAACCCTGTTGACTTCCCAGAGCCCTTGGCCCCCAGCTACTCAATAATAGCTTTTATTATCTGAAGTTGGAACCTCACTTTTCTTCTATCAGGCAGAATATTGAAAATTATTTTAGGATAAATAGAAGAGGATATGTGATAAAGAAGGTGACCAGATTTTATAAATGAAAGATTTTCAACTAATTAATGGAATTTGCAATTGTTTGGAAAGGTGATTGTAGACTTACTAGCCCAGCCTCCTTTCTCCTTAGTGTTACTAGTTTGTGCACTTTGAGAAGAAAAGAGGGCATGAATAAGGAACCATCATATGAGGAAATGAAGACATAAATCCCCGTGGGAGAAATTTTTTTGGAAGGGAAAGGCTTATAAGAATTTATCTAGGTGCCTCCATCCAAAATGGCTTAAGAAAAGACCATCTTCAAAAGACAATCTCATGAATTTTAACATTAGAATGGAATCTAACAGTTCTACAGGGTTTGTGATTAAATCCTTTTTGTTTTGAATATTTTTTTTCCTTTTGGTTAGCTCAACTTGTTTTATAGTGAATAGGTACTATTTGTGATGTCAAAGAGCTGCTTCGTGGGTTTCAACAATAATATCAAGGAAAAATAATATTGCTGGAGTCATGTTTTAAGACCAGTTGATTAACAAAATTCAAGGCCTGGTATGGTTTTGGATCTTGTGGCTGAAGCTTTACTTTCCAGGTTTTAATCTGGAGGGAGAGTGAGTAATTTATTTAAAATGGCTGAAAATGGGAATTCCCTGGTGGTCCAGTGGTTAAGACTCTGAGCTTCCACTGCAGGGGGCATGGGTTCAATCCCTGATTGGGGAACTAAGATCCCACATGCCAAGCAGTGCAGCCAAAAAAATAAATAAATAAAACAAATAAAAAACAAAATAATATGGCTGAAAATGAAGGATTCCATACAAGATCTTGTTTTATCAATATAGCAATAGCAATTTTTGGAGCCATAAGCTAACATTTATTAGAGCTTCTGAATTAATCATTTTTAAATTTTTTATTTCTTTTTATTATTTTTATTCTTCAGTTTTATTGAGATATAATTGACATATAGCACTACATAAGCTTAAGGTGTACAACCTAATGACTTGACCTACATATATTGCAAAATGATTAACACAATAAGTTCAAGGAACATCCATTACCTCATACAGTTATAAAAAATGTTTTTTCCTGGTGCTGAGAACTTTTAGGGTTCACTCCCTTCGCAGCTTTCCAATATACCACATATAGCAGTGTTAACTAAAGTCACCGTGCTGTGCATCACATCCCCAGTAATTATTTATCTTATATCTGGAAGGCTGTACCTCTTGACCACCTTCATTCAATCACATTTTAAACTCTTTCCCATCTGCCATTAGCCATTTGAAAAAATGATGACTAAAGATTTAGATTTTCTTTTTGCATATTCTTCAAACAACATGATTTTTTAAAGTAGCCTATTTTTTGTCCTCTGAAATGACCAATAACTTTTTTTTTAAGGGTTTCAGCAAAATGTAATTGAACAAATCTAGGTCTAACATCAAACCATTGCTACATTGTGGTCTTTTTAAAAAGAATTACCTTTAAGTAGTCTTTCAGCAATGTGTTTAAAAAACCACAAATACTAACTTTTTCCTTTTGTATAAAGAGGTAAAACACTTTTATTTGTTCATGAAAACTGTGTGGGGGAGGAGAGATCATTTACATTTTCCTGCATATAAGTGCCACGTGAAGAAGATCTGAGGAAAAGTAGAACAGACCCTGGTAAGTTTTAAAACATATATATATATGCATATATTTTATGTTTTAAAACATACATATATTTCTTATATATTACTGGATGAATGCTTAAAATGTCACAAGATTTCTGGAAGGCCTCAGATGCAAGCAGTCAGTGAGGTTATACATGGAAGATAGTAATAATTACAATTCAAAATACAGTTTCAAAAAAAAAAGCAGTTTCAAAAATCACAGTCCTTCCAAACCTTATTCAGTCTAGTTTCCTGTCTAGACATGCAAATTGAACTGAAGAGTTGAAGCAATTATTCAGATAATTCAAAGGAAAAAAACCTCCTCATTGAAAGAAGATTTTGAGGAGCCTAAACTGTGTGAATTGTTCGTCCTCACTGATCAATTCACCAGATAATTGTACTTCGTCCTGGGAGTTTGAAAAGGGCCGTAGGATTTGAGTCAGGAAGAAATTTCATGAACATTTTTTTTTTCCTGTGCGTTTAACCTCAATGAAATGTGTATAATTTATAGGAAAAGAAAGTAAGGCTCTCGGAGAATCCTCTTTCAAGAAAATCGGAAGTTATTTTTATGAGGGATAGAAAATCTTTTATTCATAATGACTCTCCACTCCACCCTAAAAACGTTTTCTCAAGTCTAACCTTCTAAGTACCTTTCTTTTTCAGATGAGATGACAAGATTTAACTGGAAGACAAAAGAAACTCATTAAGCTATCTTCAGCTGGATGTGATACCCTATGGTTCTGTTTACGTGGTATTTGTATATTCTTGTGAATTACACAATTTAAATAAAGGAGGGAATTATTACCAGTGTGTTCAGTACACATTAGGATTGTTATCGATAGATGCTAAAGTAACAGCCAAGCTATAA